GGGATTTATATTTTTCTCTATTTTGTGTTACTGAAATTTATTTTGTCCGCTCGAAGATCACCTAGTTGGTTTTCCTGAGATTTCCTCTCAATATCTTCTCAGACTCATAAGTGTGCAGGGGAGCTGTAACGGATTAATGAAATCAACAGCATGTTCACGAGTCTGTATGAGGAGTAAATCAGTCGAAAAGTCCACTGTACTTTAATTCATTGTCTATTACTGGAATGGGTATTGTTTCTACCAATTCGTCCTTAAGTAAAGACCTATTACTTGCTTGCTTGATTATGTTAATGTGTTTGTGCTTTTTCACTAGCTGATTGGCTTCTAATTATCTTTCTTCTGATGAATCTGAATATTCACACTTTTTAGACCACTTGGTATAATTCATTAGAACTGTTGTTGCTTTGAGCCTTTTTTCGATAACCTATGGTACTCTATCACTTGAACACCATGATCCGCTCTTAAGCACATTGATCTGTCTTGTGTACTGCCCGTCTCTGGCTGCACACTCTTTGTAACCTGCTGCGACTATTATTCTTTAGATGCCCATGGAAATTGGATAATTTCATTATGTACTTTATTCATCTTGTTTATCGGATCATGCCTGCTGCGAATCTAAACGACCATGACTTATTTTCCCAGACCTATTTGCATAGTTGATTCCATGGTTTTCTCCCACTTCTTTTAAACACACTTGTACGTTCCAATCCAGTCCATATTGTCCTTGACTTCGTGTTATGATTGGTCAGCATGTCTACGGTAGCACCGACACGAGTGTTAACAAGGAATATTTTTCCAAATTGGTTGGATCGACTTTTTCATTTGGATTCATGGAGTAAAAAACCCTTTTTTTATTTCATGGGCATTATAAGCTGCCAAACATATTTTATTCCTATCACGCTAAACATTTACTTTTCCCTTAAATATGTTGTATGGTTAAATACTTTCTATCCATCATCCAAAAAAGATACTTGATGCTATGTTTAGTAATTTGGACAGAGATACATATAAAGGGACCTAAAATAATCTTTGTTGGTTGTTAAAATACCCTGTGCAGGGCTTTTTGGCTGGAGGCTATTCACCGACGAGGACTTAATGCTCTTGACGAGTCTACTTAACAGTCTTCTTCTGAGAGCTCGTACAAGAATCTTCTAACATGGTTAGATCATACCACCTTGACTATTGAAACAGGGATTATCTCATTATCGCCAATACTCTTGGTAAACTAGGCAAGTATGCAAGCATCTTTATGCATTAAAGGAAGAAAACCTAGGCAAAATTCAACTATTTCTTGTTGCGTAGAAGTTGTTTTACCTTGTTTTTTGCAACTTGGTCATATTGGTAGGAAGACTTAGAGGAACGCACCTAGTCTGGAGTCCATTGTATGCATGATCATTTCCAAAGTCGGACCATGGACGTGGTCCTTTCCCAGACGTTTCGCCGGCATCGTCAGTGAGTCTCACCATTCTTAGCACCATAGTACAGCTCGTCAAAGAGATAAGGGAAGCCCATCCTTTGACCAAACGTGTGCTAAACAGTTGTGGTATCTCCCATTCTGCCCTGAAAAAGAGACTGCGACCACACAAAAGGCCACACCATCTTGGTCTTCATACCTTTGATTATTTCTTGTTGCGTTGATATTTTCCATCAAATTCTTTTGGGAAGGATGTGAATAAATGCTCTCGAAGTGGACCAGCATCTCCACAGAACCTCCCATTATTTCACGTTTTAGGGTTTTCATACTTGAAGCTTTGGATGTTTCGGATGCGCAACACCACTTCAATATACCTTTCTTATAAAGTTGCACCATGAAGTAGATAACATTCTCTCGATTAATCGGTCTTCGACTTTAGTCTATTGAGTGAAGGATATTTTACTTGTAGGTCGTATTCCAAACGAATGAATCTTGGCATTGCAGCTTTAAATCTTGGTTTTGTCTAAAACTAGAGGCCTGAACTGGAGTAAAAATGATTTTGGGTTACTCTTATAACACTCATCGTTTAAGAAACAACGAATTTGCCTCAGAATATTTTCAATTGATCACAAAGTGCTTCCAAGCTTGGGAATTTGTTGATTCAGCTATCGAAAATCTTTTCGGCACCAACTGTATATCCTTTGAATCCATCTCGCAGATATAAATAGTTCAGTTTAAAAAGGCACTGTTTGCGTGTCCCAAGATCTCAAGAGAGATTCTAGAGTTCCCACTATGGCAATCAATATCAAGGAGAACATACTGTTATGTGACATCGCTGTATTTCCAGTCATAATTCCACTTGTGAACATTTTACTAATGATCATATAAATTATTTTTTAGATTTCTTAAATTAGATATATTCCTGCTAAGCAGCTGTACTGCAGAACCAATTAATGTGTGCCAACAAGTTCTTGAATAGACAGCTGAACGCTTAGTACTTGTTTGTTCAAGAAAGTCCTCTAACTCTGCACTCCGTAAAATTTTATCACTACTTATCCATAACTTCTGCACGAACAATACTTGCCTGGTATATTTGGTTACGTTCTCTCTTATGTGTTTAATTTGACCTTTTGAGCTAATCAAGACCGTCTACTTGCCCAAGCATAGATTGTCTTCCTTGGCTCGGAGCCATGCATGGAGCATGGGAACCATTTCATACGCTCGCCTTCATCTTAAAGTCGTTTGATGGTATCCTTCTTGATGATGGTCTTGGAATCGCAAAACATGTTTGATAAGCCTAATAGGACCTTAAAAGCCCTTTTATATACCTAGGCCTATTTGCTCGATGGTGGGCAGCCAAGAAAGGATGTTCCATGGATCATCTCAGGTCCATCAAGTAGATTGCTCCTGGCGGCTTCGTCCTGAAAAGGTGGTCATGTTCCCATTCCCTTCTGACCCTGATTCAACTTAAGCGGAAAGCTTAGTCTGTTTACTATAAGGATCAACTCTGACTCCACATTGGATTCCATCTTTCAACTCATTTATGACAAATTCATTACTTAAATTTCATCTCGTTCTGCTTTTCGTTTTCTTGTATGTGTTTAGGTGTTGTAACTGTTGATCAGTACATTTATGCGGTCGGTGGCTATGACTCTTGCAGCCATTTGCGCAGCGTGGAGCGCTACAACCCTGAATCAGACAGCTGGGAATACTGCGCCCCCATGATTCACCCCAGATCGGCTCTTGGCGCAGCTGTCGTGGACGGACGGATATGGGTCTTTGGTGAGTATGATCCGCTTTATTCTCAATGAAAATGATTTAGCTGACAGCATTCACAGGGTAGCCTTGTTGTTACTTATTGTGTCTGAGTCCAAACACGTTGGCGATATGAGAAATAAAAAGAGAACAGGTAATTAAAGTTCAGATACATGTTGTGGTGCTAATTTGATGAGGGTAGCATTTGCACCACAAGACAATGTGAAGTAGTGGAGAGTTGCTCTGATGCATTTGTGCTTAGTGGCCCTATGATGTGGAGTCATTTTTTGCCAGTGTTTGAGTACTCTTCAGCTTAAATATCTTGTGAATCATAGAGAAGAGCATCATGATTGTAGGAGCGGCTTTGAGTGTGTATGGGAATGGGGAATTACTTAACTGGTCAATCCTAATTGCTTTATGTATGACCAAGCTAATGTTAATGCAGACTGTCCATCAAGAGAGGGGTGTCAAAGTAAGGACTTGCAATGGACATCAGATGAACCTAGAAGAGTGAATAATGTAGGGATAGTGTCACATGTGTGCATGAATCGAGTGGCTCCTTGGTCGTAAGAATGGAGCATATTGTGGGCCTGGAGTGTGAATGGAAGAATTTCTTAAGATAAGCATAATGAATGACAGTCGTTTTTTGGTTCATGTAGAAGGTTTGGATGAGACTGATAGGAAATGGGGGCTATCTAGTGTGCTTAAGGGGTAATATGCGTTTGTATAGATAAATGCCCTCCTGTCGAGGACCACTTAATAGGATAAGAATTTGCCGTCATGGTAGACAATATGAACCAATTCCTTCCATTAGATTGTCAAAAATTGGGAGTCTAATCTCTTGTCAACATTATCATCTCTCTTCTCCTATATTTTTGCAGTCTCTACTAACTCCCGTTATTAGATAAGAAAGTCTTTTTCTCAGTTTTTAACCATGTAGCAAATCGTTTTGCAGAACTACAAGCTTCTTCTTTTTCCAACACTCCCCACAACTGACTAAACTCAACTTCATTTTATGGAGAGTAACTGTTTTCGCAGACTCACTTGGTAGATTAATGTTGCTGTGCCTTTCGTTTAGTTTGAAAACTCGTAAATTAGCTGCCCCGGATAGAGGCTTTACACCAAGTATCTTATTCACCATTCCTCGACCCCAACAAATCCGTGCCGAGCTCTCGTTGGTCCCGCTTTAAATGGTGTCGTCAGAACTGGTACCCATTATTTACCATAATTCACTTAACCGACTGAGATTCTACTTAATGCGGCATCCCAATATTCGGCTGGCTACTTAATGTGTATCTCGGATGCTTGAAAGCAAATGAACTTGGTGCATAAACGATGCATACTTCAAAGAACGCTAGTCTATTTATTTAATATGCTCTTTTTATTTTACTATTCCATACTTGATCTTCACAAATTACTCAGAAAATCAATCGAAACCGAAATTTAGTTTGTATCCCATTACCTACCATTTTGTGTTGCCCAAAGGTGGCTCCAGAAATAAAGTTATTAAGTACAAATAATGTTGAACACTCGAGCTCATTTTGAAAATGTCTGGCATACCTTGTAACTCCAGCGGGTCAGCAACGACTGACTGGGAGGCCGATCGAACTAGACTTTACTTTGACACTAATGGGCTGACTGCTAATTGGACAATGGCACATGATTGAACCATGTACGCCCATGATAAAGATCGAGCACTAAAACCTTCCCCTAGCGAGATAGATCACTCTTTTACCAGACCCCTATCCGGATGCCGGACGAAATCTGTGAAATTGGGCGAGCCTTTGCAAATACCGCCTGCCAGTTCCAGGGCATTGGCTTTTTTGTTGTTGGCTAATGTCTACATGTACAAATTGGAAGAGAATTTTAAAAACTTCACTCCAGCGGCCAACGGTAATTATGCACTCTGGCCCCTTGGAAAAGAAAAATCAGACGATTTCTTGATCTTCCTAAACGACATAGATGGAAAAGTCAAATTTTCAATGGATGTGGAGGAGAACTGGGACTTAGTGTTCTTGGATGTGGAGGTCATTCGTTGAGAAGAGGCTCTTAAGAAACGGTTGTTCCGCAAGAAAACACACAGGAATTATTGTTAATTTCCAGTCTAACCATACTTATGGAATGAAGATTGTTTACTCGGGAGTATGGTCATAAGAAGCCTACGACTTACTGTTTTTGAGTTTTGAAAAGAGGAACTGGAAAAACTAAGTCAGTTGCCTTTTGGAAACGGGTATACAGAAGAAGCAATAAAATGCAACATATGATTGGAAGGAGGGAGATTATTGAATGAAATAAAGGGAAACAGGAAAAACGGTGGATATGTCTACCCTTCTGTAAATTAACCCGGAAGCTGCGGCCAATAATATGGAAATGGAAAATTCGTACAATCCTGTACTTACCCGCACAACAGGAATTCAACAAAATGGGGTGCTTCGGAGTTTACAGCATAAGCTACAAGGACTGTAGGCAAAAATAGATCAGGGACGGGAAGGACTATCAGCACAAGGATCAAAGAAGACTAGCGACTGTGCAGGAAAATGGATACTGAAAGGTCGGAGATGACTAAATATATCGCCCTTATTGGCCATACAGTT